GCTCCGCCTCTCCCGCGCGGGCGGCGCCTACAGCTGACATTGATACTACATTACCCACAGATCCCCGCGCCGAGCCATGTTATAGGAAATCCGCTTGCGGCGGATTATTGTAATCCGACAGCGGGTCTGGACGACACATCGGATCACGATAAAAAGCCAAAGCGCAGCGGCCTGTGACAGATGCAGCTGCTCTGACAATCAAAGGATCACGTCGGGATATGATCTGAGGCGCGGCGCCGTGTTCCTGCAGCCAGAGGTCGGTGCTGCCCCGGGCCGCTTCATCCGACGCGCACACACGGTGACAGCGGCGCGGCATTTCTGCACCGCGGCGCCGAGAAACGGCTTCAATTAGCTGGACAGAAACGCTGCCTCTGCCGGCCCCTTCCTCCCATCCTCCCCGGGGTGAGTCCAGCTGAGTGCGGCTGTCCTCCCCGCCGCTCCGAGCCGCTCCGCTGCTAGCGCGGCTAGCCCAGCCCAGCTAGCCTGCTAGCTGCTGAGGAATCTGTCCAGTTCGGATCATCGGGTTCGGCTCCGCGTCCCGCAGGCAGCCAGCAGAGAGGATGTCGGCCAAAGAGCAAAACAAACTCTCTACTGTGGACCGGCCCATCAAAGGTAGGCGCCATTAGGAAACTTCTGTTAGGGAGGGGGGCTAACCGGAACCCCGGTGATCCGGGGGCCACAAGGCTGCTGGACCTGACCGGGGACATGTCTCCGTCTCTGACGGGACATTTCTGCAATTCAGACATTTATTAGTTGACATGAAACTCCTGAGATCAAATCTGTTTGGTTTCAGGAGCTGGATCTCCATGTTTTATGGATAAAATGAAAAATATAATAAAATAAACATGTGATGTTGTACAGAGGCGTAGCCAGAAAATGTTAATGATGGTGTCCAGGCACCAAGCAATGCACACTGTTCCAACAGCACAACATCCATAGTTTGTAAATAAAGACAAACTTTACTTTCCTGCAGCCTTTGCTAACATAACATAATAATAGACGCATTTATTTAAACATCTATGCTGTTTAAAAGGTATTTTGGACCAAATTTCAA